AAATGTGATGAAAACATGAAGGAAACATGATGAAAACATGATGAAAACATGAAGGAAACATGAAGGAAACATGATGAAAATGTGATGAAAACATGAAGGAAACATGATGAAAACATGATGAAAACATGAAGGAAACATGAAGGAAACATGAAGGAAACATAAAGGAAACTTATTGGATTATTAGATATTTAGTGCACAGATAAAAGAGTAGGTAGTAATTGAGAGCAACAAAAGTTTAATTTATTTTTTTCTTTACTAAAAAAACTTAAAAGCATGAATCAAAATGTTTTAGTTTTATGTTTAGGACTAATATAGCACAATATTTTAATACAAATAAATAGGTCAGATCAACATTTTACCAAAATTTTCAAGTTAAGAGTAACTGAGGCCAGAAAAATATTTATTTTCATATTTTTTAATTAAAATGTTTTGCCTTTATATGCCCAAATAACACAATGCAATGTTTTAATAACATCGGCCAAGAATGTCCAGTTAAAGCAATTGGCAAACACAACAAAATCTGATCAAAAACTGTCAATTTGGAAGTTATCGAGGAGAAAGACGATTTTTTAAATTAAAAATTATAAAAAATAAAAAATCTAAACCTTTCATTTTTATCTACTCAACTAACATGATATTTTATCAAACTCTAAGAAGACCAAACAAAACAGTCATGGTGCTGTTTATAAAAAGCTACTCTAAAGGCACATTATGTAGCAATCTGACAAAATTTTACTTTGAGAAAATTTCCAACATAAAAAAAGAAAATGATTGTTTATTCTGTTTTTTTATTTTAATTCAAGCAACACATCAGTTTCTGTGAGCTGGGAAGATGAGTTCCTATAGTTGACCACCAGATGGCGCCACAGATCAACCTGCAGTTCTGTTTCTGTGCAGCAGGGGGCGCAGTGAGACCACATATGTGCAGCAGCCTGAGTTGCAGGTTGTTTTGAAGGGATTGCGTGAGTCACAGACAGACAACCTGAGTCACATGTCTGCTTCACTGCCCTCCTCACTGTCTGTAAATCTGAGACTTTCTCTCATCTAGTTTTACTCACAGCTCTGATTTAGACGCTGATGCTTCCAAAACGTCTTGCTTTCTCCACGGGGATCATTTGACTCACAGTGTATTTTTAGCTCTTTTGCATTCACTATGAGGAAAGCATTTATAGAAAATACGGACAGATAGGAATGTTATTCTGGAACAGTTTGTGTTTTCGCTTCTGAAGCGTTGAGCTGGTATTTGAGCCAACAACATGATGCACATTAAAACCGAACCTCAGGTCAGCTGTGTTCTCAGCAGACCTTTTTTTCTCCTGCAAGCCTCCAATCAGGGATTGTTTTGTGTATGAGAGCAGGATATTTGCTGAGTCATGATGTTGTCTTCTTCTCCTCCTTCTTCTTCTTACCGGAATCACTTGCTGACTTTTGCCCCATTTTCTGCTCTCAGACAGGCGTTTTGATTTGTCATCTCTGATGTTTTTCCTATAATTTCTGCCTCTCAGCACCTTCTGCCGCTGCTGTCCTGCAGTCGGTCTGCTCTTTCAACGAATCCTGATTTTACCATCTGGGGTTTTGCTCTGTTAGCAGCAGACATGGCAGTAAACTCATCTTATTTTGTCCACCTTGCACAGTGACTCATTGCAAAGTATAAATGTGACTCATCACATTTATACTTTAAAGAACAAAAATACTTCCTTCCCAGCTGGAGTAGTATGTGCTCTGTAACCTCGATGTTTGCCTGTTAATCTGTGTTGACAGTTAGTGCATCAGTGATTGCGTGCAAACATTCCTGACAGTCCAGGCCTTGTCAGTACCTGTGTCGGTGTTTTAATAAACAGTAGCTGTCACTGCTGCAGAATTGGCCCCTCTGCACTGCAGGTAGTGTTTAATCTGAAGTCAGCAACATGGCTCTGTACTTTCTGTTTACTTAAAATGACAATAACACGCGTGGCGGTCATATTTAAACTGTGTCTGACACCCAAATCCACAGGTTTTTCTGTCTAAATAGTTTATTTAGGGTTCAGTCTTTATGTTTCTGTGCACATTTTCACACTTTCAGCTAACATTAGCATTTTAGCTCATTTTTATGTAAAGCCTCATGGAGTAAGTCCATGTTAGTGAACATGCTATGATAGCCCACCTGCTGTTGACATCATTTTAGCTAACTTTAGCATTTGTTTCTAATTTTGTCTCAGACAGAGCTGTTTATGCACATTGCTTTAAATCAACAAACTATCGTTTTCATCATCAGTGTGAATGAATGGAAATGACTGATTTCATGTAAATTTAGGTTGTACTAAAAGTTAGCTGAAACAAAAAGGGCTAATTAATCAGAAATCTCATGACCCACTTCAGTTCCTCTGCGACCCTCTGACCTGCCGCAACCCCCATGTTGAAGACCTCTAAGCTAAATAATGCAAATTACCAAGTTTCTTCTTCTAAAGCTGAACTTTTTATTAATTGTTAAATATATTAATTGCTGACACTGAACTGAATCAACAGGCTAATAAATAATTTTAGATTTGTTGGCTTTAGCAACCAGCAGCTTTATTTCCTACATTTCATGTCTGAGCAGATTTGCTTGTTTTTCGGTAGAACTGAGTCCCACTTTAAAGGCTGCAAAACATTTGACATTATTTCAGGGTTTATGAGACGCAGCATGCAGGTTCTGACCCTGTGTGGTTTTGACAAAACTCCTGAAATTAATTGAAGCATTTTTTTATTAAGTTTTTCTGAGAACTTCAGAAACAAACTGAGCTGAACAATCTTCGGAGCAAACAGAGCAGGAGAAGTTCTTCTCCAAACCAAACAATGTTGATGAGGAGCAACAATTTGTACAACCAAGATAAAAACAGGATCAGGATTACAGTTTTTATCAATCAAATCGCTTTAAGAATGATTTGTAGTTTCACTCTCACAGTAAACAAGATATGAAAGAGCAGAAGAGGCTCCGTTCAGTCAGAAACGTTCCTGTCAGAACAACAAGTCGATGCGTTTCTGTGCTGCAGCAGATATGAAAACTCCAGATCCATCCCTGAAAATGTTCTCCAGTTTGTGTTTGTGGTCCCCATGTTTTCGCTCTTGCAGGTTGGACCTGTTGCAGCCTGCCGCCTCCTCATGATGCAGCGTTTTGTTTAGAGGACGGCGATGTGTTTCCTGCACCGTCCGAACGAGGTCACGTTGCTGCTGATCAGAGCTGGAGCGCCGCCCGGCGTCACCGCCACACATTCCTGCGGGAGGCGTCAGCGCCGGAGGTGAGCCGGAAGTGAAAAAACTGGGCCAGATTATTTCCCTGAAGCGGCTTTTTATCGTTCCCGGAAAAAGCGAGAGCTGCAGTTCGGTCTGGGATTGCTCTGCTGGTGCGTTAGCAGGAAAAGGAGCTGGAGAAGTTCGAGTTTCTGATGGACTCTGTCACACTTCAGCGGAGCGTTTCCAAGAACCGAGCAGCAGAAAGAAACGCTGCTGCCACAGGCAGAGACTCTCTGTTCTCTGAGTTCAGTAAACAAGAAGTCACACAAGCTGAACGACCTCAGAGGAAGGTCAAGGTCAAAGAACGAAGTGATGAAACGATGAAAAACCTCAGGAGAACAGCTGGCATCACGCTGACAGGGAGACAGAGAAACATTGGAAAGCTACATTAAAAGTCTTTAAAGCTGCTCTTTGTAAAATGTTTCATAAATAATGTGTTGTTTTGTTTTACATATTTATTCAGACTGTCACAATATCAAACAGTAAAATGTCGAGCTCCTCTAGTAGCGATGCACCGATCCACTTTCCACTACCGATATCTGAGCCGATATGATACAGAAAAACAGCTGAACTATAACATTTCTTTATATTTAAATAAATGTTAAACATGAATGAAAACTCTGCAGTAGCTCAGCTCACTGAAACACCGGCAGCAAACGGTTTGGTCAAACATGTAGAAACAGCTTCAATTTGTTCAGTGCAGTTAGGAAATAAAAATAAAGAACAATCAAACTGAAACTGACTGAAACTATGTAAAAATAAACTGCAGCTGTGAATTTTCTCCTCTGTCTGTTATCGGGGGTCGACGCTGTACTTCATAAAAAGGCATCATAGTAACTTCTTCCTCACAAATTCAGAGTGAAACGGTTCAGAAGCATAAATAAGTCCTGAGTATTTCCTCCTGCTGTCGTTCAGCTTCCTGCAGATTCATCTCTGTTCATGGAGAAACCAGAAACCGAACTGGGATTTCATGCAGACGACAGAAACTTCAGAGGGGAAACCCCGCCTGACTTCCTGCCACCCCGTTCTTCTGCTGCCACTGTGGGAAAATGACTCGGTGAAACTGACTGGGCGTCTTGCCGTGATGGTGGAGCTGAAACTGATAGTGGAGCCGATAAACGTTGTATAAAACGGGGTTTGCCTTGTTTCAGCTGGCAGAGGATCTGCTCTTTGTTACGACTCTTATTTTAACCTCCAGAGCTCATTCTGGCCGATCTGACTCATCAGAAACGTTTCTGCTCCCTTCGAGGTTTAAACATCAGTTCACTGACCTTCACTTCTAGCTCAATATTAAAACTGACTTTTTAGAAAAGCTGTGATGCTTTTCTTAAACTTTAAAGATATAAAATTGTTTTCAACAAATAATTCAGCAAATATTTCACATGGATACATAAAGTAATCTCAGTTTCTTCCTCAGATAATCCTCCTCCACGTGAAGCGATGTGACTCCCACACACTCCTCCTCAGCATCTGAGCTACACACACACACACACACACACACACACACAGAGCATGACCTCTGAGTCATCAGCTTTAGGTAACAGATGGACGTGGAGCGGAGAGCTGGATCTTACAACGATGCAAAACAGGAAAACTTTAATAAGATGATTTCAATACTAAATCAATCATGAAAATACAACACAGAAACAAAAGGTTTACAGTAAAATGATTAAACTATGCAGAAATAATGATAAAAACCTGGTTATTACTGTTGCTTTGATTCTTTCAGGCATGTTTGAGAAATCCTCTAATCTCCATGGAAACCATTCTGTTTGCAGAAACGTTTCTTCAGCCGAGCCTCACAGACCCATTCAGCTCCTCTAGACTAGCGGCAGCAGCAGTTAGCAAACACCTGGTGGACGGATGACTCATTCTACAAGCTTCTTCCAGTTGCTACATTCCCATTAAAAATGTGTGCAAAATTATGCAATTATTCTGCTCGTTGTTGCATCAAATTAGAAAAGCAATTAAAATCACTCGTGAATAAGTTTGTTCATGTGAAAAAACCTGCAGCGCCGTCATCCTCCTACCACTTCCTGTCGTCTGCTTCGTCGTTTCTGCCAGTAGTAACAATCGGTTGTTGATCACATGACTTGATTCCATTGCAGTTTTGCAAAATACACTAATTTTAATGCAGCTGAAAAATCAACCTCATTTTAGCACAAAAAAGTTTTTATTTGAATTATTTTTTTGTTTGAAATTGTCGTGTTTCCATTAAGCAAATTTATTTTCATAACTCCAATTTGTGCGATTGTGTTGTCAATCAAAACGCTGGTAAAGTCGTTGATGACTTCCTGAAGGCGGAGTCTCTGAAAGAACAGGAGCTTCTAAAAGAGACAGAGGCCTAATTTCAAGTCATATTTCTTTTAAGTCATTTATATATATATATATTTCATAACAACTGAGGGTAACATAGTTACTTGATTGTGCTATAAAATGGCACTATATGCCACCTGATGGGATGTTTCCACCAAACTCAAACCCTGAGCAGCTTTTAGTTGTGCACAACATACTGCAGGACACCTAGCAAACCCTGACTCATGTTTTGGGCAGCCAGCAGCGCCGGACGCCGGCCTGTTCCTGCCGAAGTTTCACTTCGTCTCTCAGGTGAAGTGGAAATGGAAAGGAGTCGGCTGCTGATTGGCTGTTACTATTTACACCTGGCTGCTGCTCTTACCGGGTTTGTCCTCGTTTTCAGCAGACATGACAGGTTTTTAGTTTGTTTGCATCAAACCATAAAACACTTCTACATTCACTTTTCTGTATTAGTTGTTTATTTTGCCTCAACTTAAGTATATTTAGTAAAAAAAAAAAACAACTTGAATTTCTGAGTCCTCCTTTTGTGAGGCAGGTTTTAGTAAATCTCGGTGTTTTAAGTACCTGAATAAAACCAAACATTACAGAACTGATCCAATCTGTTCTGAACTGGAACTTCTTGGTAATTTAAAGTCCTGATTGCGACGTTTGTTTCCTTTCAGAGTAAAACTGAGGTTCCACCTTGATGACATCAGAGGAAAGATTCCTGTACTTTTATTGTCCTGGATTTCAGGGAAGCTTTGCTAATTTGACCTGAGATTTATGTGCTACTATCAGCAGTAAATACTTGTTCACACTCATCATCATATCTGGGTCAGAAAACAATAGTGGAAAACATGAAGCTTAAATAAATCACAGCCTGTTTTTCTGCATACTGTCAAAACAAGGACAGCCTTTTGAGCTGCAACTTTCTGACAAACTAGCTTACTGCACCGAACTGTGGCGCTATCAGATGAACTGAGCTGTGCATGTTGGCTTTGCAACTGTTTGGACACTTAAGTTCATAAAAACGTTTAGTCTTGGACTCAGATGTTGTGCAGAACGTTTGTTAAGTCAGACCTGTGCAGCGTCGCCTCATTAGCTGAGCGGTGCCGTTGCTCATGTTGGGCTGAGACGGTTTGTTTTATGGACGATCCGATTGGCTGCAGAAACGCTTCAGCTGCAGAGTTTAATCAGCATGTTAATGTGGGGGCGAGATGAGCGCCACTCATCAGCGCAGCACAGACACTAAGAACAAACAGGTTATTCATTAATGTGAGAAAAGCATCTCACCTGCCCAGCTGGGTGTGTTAGTGAGAGCAGCTCCTGATCTCTGTGTTCCTGCTGAATAACAGGCTTTTTTATTCCGATGTCCTGAAGTGGTTTCACAGTGACTCACCGGCGGTGGCTCACATTTCTGCAGCCGCCTGGAAAAGGTGTTCAGGCTTTACAAGTCGAGCTGGACTGAACCGGGATACATTATTTAGGACGGTTTCGGTTCTGCAGACATTCTGGCTCAACAAAGACAGCGTGAAGCAAACAGGAATGTTAAATATGCGGCGTCTGCAGAAAAGGAACGGCTGCTGCTCTCAGATGACCTTTTTCCTGCGCAGTAGGAACAAGTACGGCTCGGGAAGACATGCCTTTACAGAACAGAGAGTCCAAAATAAAAGATCTGTTTGCAACGGCTGGAATGTGCAGAACAACATGCAGGAATGAAGCCACACTTCCTAACCTGTTCACACGTTTCTTCTTATTCCTGTTCTCACTGATACACATGATTTCACCGATGTTGTTTGTTAGATAGCTGATTATTACGACCGCGCCCTGCAGCCACTGAAGTTGGAAAAAAAGAAGGACATTTTCATCAAAAAGATCAGAAATTTTTCCAAACTTTTCAATTAAAAATGTGGAAATTTCAAATTTTTTTTAACATCACACAATATTGAGGTTAATTTTAGAAATGTTCTAGAAGAAAATAAACATCTATGAACTCCAAAAATGAAATTAAAAAAATGCTATAAAAATGTCATAAAAATTCTAATTAATCTCATAAATATTCAAGAAAAAAATCAGAACTTTCTGAGCCTGGAAAGTAAAAAGATAAAGTAAAAAACTGCTGAGATTATTCTCAAAATTTATTATTTTTTTCCCTTGCAAATGTATGTACAGTGTCCCAGTAAGCCGTTTATCCCTGGATAAATTCAGAAGCTAAAAATAAGCTTAGTGTTGTGCAGCCAACAGTCTGCAGGAAAACACGGCTCACTCTGTGTGTAGAGGAGGGAGTGTAAGTATCATCATGAGTTTTATTTGTGGAGCCGGGGCTTATCAGGTCATTCAGCTGTGACCTTCAGGACCTGGAACGACCTCTGCTGGAAGAGGAATCGTCTCCATGTAAGGAAGCGGAGCAGCTTGGCGGGTTTGATCTGCATTGTTTGGATTCTGTAGTAGGACGTTTATCGCCTCCGTCTGATGCCATCATGTCTGTTTACTCCACTTAGACCCTGCTCTCTGATTGGCTGCTTGGTGGCCAAGTATGAAGCAGACAAACCAATCCATGTTGCCAGGTTGGGCAGGTTTCTGTCCAGTTGTGCTTCTTTTGAACACATTGGGCTGGAAAAACAGCTTTGGGTGGGTTGCTGCTTGACCTGCTTTTCATAACATTTGGCAGGTTAGAAAATTTTTGTGGGAAATTTTGATAAAAGATAATTGTCATTGTGTGGCAGAAAAGCAATAACGTGTAAATTTTAAAGGGGCCCTGTTTTGCAAAATTCACTTTTTGTACATTTTTGTATTTACAGGAAGTAAATACAAAAACCCAACACCTAGCAAACAGTGCTGGTGCTAAAACCCCAGCACTGTTTTTAGAAGTGCTGGGTCTTCTAAAAACAGACCAGCACTTAAAAAACACCCAGATGTTTTGTTTGTTTTTCAATAAGTTCATGCTTTTTGGTGTTTGGAAAATGAGCCGTTTCAAAAACCTCATAATTGTTAAGTTAAAACCATTTGGAACTTCCCCGTTACCTAGCAACCCAAGCTGAGTACCACCTGTTACCCAGCAACCCCAGCCAAAGCGTGGCCCGTTACCTAGCAACCCAAGCTGAACTCTAGCACATTTGGTCAGCTGGTTTTACTGCTGTATGCGCTGTACAATGGCTGCTGGAAAGGTTTTGTTGTTTACTTACCGTCCAGAAACCACTTGCTGCGTTCTTGCTGGTTGTGCAGGCGACTTAATTTTTGACGCTTTTTTTCTGTTTTTGTGCTTTTAGATTTAGCTGTAAATCCTGGTTGTTTTGAGCTGAAACGTGAAACCGTGTGACCCACAGGAAGCTCATCTGGGTCGAACCGGCGCTGCGTCTCTGCAGACTCTGAGCTGATGTGCTGCAGCGTGATGCTGCACAACAACAATGGAAAATATTTCTGGTATTTGGATGTTTCCACACTCTGCAGGTAGTTTTTCTCGCTGACCCAACTGCCCTCTGCTGTTTTCACAAAACTCATATTCATGCAGGGCGACTTTGACTGGAAAAAGACAGAATCTGCCCAACTGATGGTTCCCTGTGATACAGCAGGTCTGGAGCAGCCTGAACTCTCCAACCTTTCTCTGGGTCAGGGTTTGTTTGGCTCTTCAGCAGCCAGTAAATACAGCAAATTAACGCAAATTAACACCTTCAGCAAATCTAAAGCTGCAAAATGGTAAGGATTTTGTTTCCCAGGTTACCTTTCTGTTATGATGACATCAGCGTTTGGAGCAAGCAGCTGATATAATCCCTCTGAAAAATAAAGCAGCTACTGTAAAATCTTGTTCATCAGTTTGATTTTATCTGAGGTTCTTCCCGTACCTGAAGGAAACAGAAAGACCTTTATGCAACCAATAAAACGAAACAAACAGGGAGGGAAACAGAAATCAACATAAAATATGTTTATTACGACAGAGTATTAGTTCTTCTGTAAATAAAACTAAAAACAAGAAGCATAACTTTCCACCAAGAAACACAATTCAGTTATAAAAATAAAAGGATTTCCACTGACATTGAAAATGTGTACATTTAAAATAAACACATTTTCATAAACATGTAAAAGGTTTATATTAAAACTAAAATCCTCTTTTCACATGTAAAAATTTATTTATTTTTATAAATTTCTAACTTTACAATGTTTTTTGCCTTTTACCAGGAAAAATATGGACTTTTTAATGTAATTTCATAACTTTCAATGTCAGAAAATTTCCAGGTATTTTCTTGTAAATTTAATCTGGAAAATTTAAATTTTTGGGGTGTAAAATATTTTTCTGCTTTGGTTGATTTAGTTTTCGGCTTTTTAAGGTCTAATGCTTAAAAGGGCAAATGATACAATAAACGTATCAGAGCCAAACAAAGAAAACATAATATAAAATAATATTACTAGAATAAGGTCATAATACTACAACTCTATTCTCGTGGTTTAATTTTTTTATTTTCTTACTCAGGATGGAAACGTATTTGGTGAATAAATTCTTATTGGTGAACTTTTCCATCCTCTGGTGGCTCAGATGTTAATTTGCTCCAAACCAGTTAAATAAAAACATGGCTGATCCACCGCATCTTCCTTTTTATTCTTCTCTTTGACAACATTTGCGCGACCATTTCCTGATTCCTGTCTGAAAAAGGTCAAACTAGGAATGAGAGCAGCATGACTGCCCAGACGTCGGTCACTTTAAAAAATATCGAAGTCGCTTCCAGTTTCAGACCAAACATGAAAAGTGACTTGAAAAGGAATCAGACTTGTGCTGTTCAGACTGGCTGCGTTTCCACTGACAACATAACGGCGCAATTTGGAATTACAAAAATAAACTCACTTCATGGAAACGCAAAGAAAACTCAGCAGAGCTGAGATGTTTCACTTTTGTGGCTGAATCAAAGTGAAACTTACATAGAATCCCTTTCAACAACAGGAAGTTACTACTGGCAGAAATGACAACGAAAACGACAGGAAGTGGAAAGAAGATATTTTTAATGACTTATCGCATGAATAAACTTTTTCATGTGTGATTTTTAATTGTTTTTCTTTTTGTAATGGAAACAACACAATTGCAAATTTGTGTTTTTCTGACTTTAGCTGAATGTCTACAAAGTTTTAATTGTAACAGAAACACAGCTGGTGTCAAAAAAACATCAGAAACTGGTGAAACTAGGGCAAGATCAGAAGTCCAGTTTTCTGAGAATTAAAAATCTTCACCATTCAGCTTTATGCAAACCTAAAATAGCTTCAACTTAAAGTCCGGATTTCGTTGTTTCTTCCCAACCAAATCATTTCCATGTCCATTTAAATGTTCACATTTACCAAATCCTGTCCTCTGCTGCTCAGCAGTGCATTTGACGTCTAAAGCAGAATTAACATCAACATCCCCCAAAATGTAGATAAACATCATAATCTAGAGTCGCTTTCGGGGAAAAGTGTTTACAGATTTCAGTGTGAGTCCGAGATAAATGACTCCTGGAGGGAAAAGAGAGGGAGGAATCTGCTGTTGATGTTTTTCTCACGAATTTCACAGGAAAAAAAACCTCGGCAGGAAAATAAAATTCCCATCAAAGTCCGTGGACTGAATTCATTTCCAAACCATCCAGACAGCTTCTCCTCCTCCTCCTCCTCTTCCTCCCAGCTCCCCACACAAACACTCCTCCCTCGCTGCGTGTTGGTTTGTTTCATGGCGTTAGATTTATTCCCTCTAACGTCAGCAGCAGGAGGAGGAGGTCATCACTGTGTTTGCACAAAAGAGGGAGGAGAGGACGTAACCGAGGGAGGCTGCTGTGAGCCGGGCTGTGGGAAACGGCAGGATAATGAGGAAATAATAAGGAGAAACTGATCAGACATGGAGGCCAGGAAGGCTCCTGGAAAGCTCTCATAAACAAATCACTGGAAGAGAAAAACACACAGAGAAAGTACCCGAAGGAAACGGCAAATAGAGAATGATTCAAACAGAAAAAATAAACGGCCGGAGCATTCGATCAGCTTCTCTTCCAAACGTTTCACTTTGATTCATTAACACGGATTTCTGTTCATCACATGCAAACTTCAAACTGCTTTGCATGAATTTATTAAAACGGTTGTGACAAAAGCTTTTGTTTTGAAATGGCTGACGCAGCAATTCCATTTCTTGTCCTTCCATCTTTTTTTGTCAAGAAACTTTATAGAACAAATGAGGTTCAATACAGACAAGCAGATCAGTTAATTCAACGAATACATGCAAACATTCACTTATATTCTGAATTTAGTACTTTAGCATTAGCTTCTGCTAAATACTATGATGGTGTAGCGCTTTAGCATAAGCAAAGCTATTGATGATTAGTGCTTTCGGGTTAGTGCAGCTAACTTTTAGTTAGCGGTTACTGGCGGTTATCGTCCAGTAAATTGTAAACAAAGTGCCTCATATTGACTTTTTGGTGAAACCATTATGTTTCACAGGACATTTTTATTTTACTTTTTATAGATAAAACAGGCAGAATTAGTGTTACAGAGTTAAATTCTGTTAAAGTGTCCTGCAGGAAATGTGTTTTATGAACTGAGGCTAAATAGATGCACTGAACATAAAAACTAACAATAGTTTGAAGTCAGTTTGAGATATTGTGTTTATATTAGCAGGTGATTGGTTGTTATGGTGGCTGCAAACAAATTAATAATGCAAACTACAAAACGCACAAAAAACCAGCAGAAAAATGCAGCAACAAACAGCAGTCCTCCAGACCACCAGGGGGAGTCTAGAGCAGTTAATATTACCTTCATTAATATACTGCCATCTTATAATATTATACATATGGCCTTAAATCATGACATAACATGTGTACTGAGACTTTGGTCCCATACGGTGATCGGCTCCCCCTGGTGGCCTGGAGGACTTC